TTTTTTATTGTTTATATATATATTTTTTCAAGTATTTAATTATAATATTACATATATTTATTTATTTATTGATGGATTAATGTTGAAGTTTATATTTGGTCGTTACCTAACATAAATTATGCCAATTAGTGTGCTGCCGTTGCCATCAGTGTGGGATATTTTCACAATTAGTGGTGAATTTCCTGGTAGAAGATTATACCAATTACTGGATTCACAGGCTCCTGCATGGTAAATGGGGATATGACAAAATTCACCGGGTTCACCATGAATACACTGCTCCAATTGGGTTCGCTTCACCATATGCACATTGGCTGGAAATTTCGATCCTCGGGATTCCATCTTTTCTCGGGCCAGCAATTGCTCCGGGGCATATGATAACATTTTGGTTGTGGATAGCTTTACGGTAAATCGAATCAATAGAGATACACAGTGGGTATGTATGCTACGGCTAAACCATTTTGTATGATGTTACTTTTCCAATTTTCTCATTTCTCTTATGCTACTTTACTTGTGACCAAATGATGCCAACTTTCGAATTTCATTCATTACTTTTCAACTTTAGTTTTTACCTTTGTTCTATTGCATAAGTTGAAGTAGCGTGGAAGTTCCAATACTAGGTTACCATTTAAAATGTGGAATGCAATTCTCTAAGCATATATAAATTGCTCATTTAGCAACATTTTTTTTGTTTTGTTTTGTTCAGTAGTTTCTTTCTCCTACAACTCTGTAAATCTGTCATCATTTACAACGATGTCTATTACTATTTACTGTCAATCTATTTACCATAATTGAAAATTTAGTAACTGAATACATTGCGCGAGAGATTTGAAAGTAACTAAAAGGATTTAGCTTGTTGCCTGAAGATACCAAACATGTTTCAAAAGTTTGATTTTTACTGGTCATCACATGTTCTAGGAAAATTTCTGATTTCCCATCCTTACCGTGTTATATGCCGGCTTACCATCCAATACTCAGATCATGTTTGTTGCTAGAGAAGCTTCAGTATTTTGCCACGTCAATCTTAGATTAAACCATGAAAAAAGGCTACGATATCCTTGAAATTGTTCAAAGTGAATATGAAAAATGAAAGTTATAATTCAAAAAAGATTATGAGTGCACCAATATCCGCTCTGTTCTTGCAAAGACTGGTCATTTACTCGTATTCTGAGGTTTCTGAGGCAAAATCTGTAGTAAGGTAGCTTGCATACATATTTTTTCATTGGTTGCTACTTGCTAGTGTATAACTTAGAAAGTGCTTTCTGCTGAAAGAATGGGCAATTCACTATATATTTTGTATATTGCAGATACCACTTCCCCTGAATCCTACAAGACTTATCCCATTTTATGGTGGAGCAGATTACCATGATTACCATCATTATGTTGGAGGACAAAGCCAGAGCAACTTTGCTTCAGTGTTTACTTATTGTGATTATATCTACGGCAGCGACAAGGTAATAAAAAATGCCTGGTTTCTCCTCTCCTTATTTATTAAATACTTTGATTTAGTGTTAAAAGCTGATAGTTTACTCTGGTCAAAAACTTTTTTCTTGTGATTAGGGCTATCGTTACCATAAGAAGGTCCTAGTTGCTCACTTCTTTTATTGTGTATACTTCTCTACCTGCCAAGGCATCTTTAGACTTTGGTTTAGCAAATGAGAAATCACGACTATCGACAATAATATTGTTATAGGATGTGAATGTGTGTCGGTTGGTCTAAAACAAGCTATTTCCATTTTATATATTCTTGATGGAGAAGAGTAAGACTAAAATATTTTATATTTAAGCATCTGATGTTTCTCAAAGCTCGATGGGAAGACAAGTACGGTCAATTCATGATAAATAATTGAAAGACAACGTGGGATGTTTAAACTGTTCATTCTGTTGTTTCCAAATATTACATCGCAGAGAGTCGGCTTTGAATGCATCAAGTTTTGTTCTGTTCTTTAGTTATTCTAGTGCACATAGCATTTCTTCCATATTTAGAGGTTTGCTTCATTTCTTATGCTAATCATTCATTGCTGCTATGATTCAGTTGAAAGAGGAATCTAGAGATAATGGTGATCAAAATGGGGGCTCATACTATGTTCCTACCCAAGATCTTAAATCAGAATAGCCACATTTCAACAGAGCAATTCTCTGGATCAGCCTCTTCGGCATACCGGTTCGCACTTGATGGCTCATGAATATCTGATTCCAACTTCAGATCTTCGTTAGTATATGATAAAGTGGAGTTCTGAAGTGATTCAGATGAATAGTAAGACTGCCATATAGAAATGTGGATCTGGGTGTAGCTTGAGGTATATATATATCTGTCTTTAAGCTCAGTTGGTAGAGCACAAGGTTCTTAACCTTGAGGTCGTGGGATCGAGTCCCACGGAGGGCATTTCATAATTCATAAGTCTCTTATGGAAGCTGCTCTCAACCTGGTATTGAGGGTAGCCTACTATCTTACCTCCCCTTACCCCATACATATGGGAAAAAGGAACAGCCTTTTTTTAAGCTAAGAGACTATAAATCAGAATCACAATCTTCATCTCTTCTTGGGCTCCCAGTTTCAGCCTTTTGGGTCAAATTTAGTGGCCTCAACCAAATGGGGTTTGATGGCCCACGCTGAACCTATCTCATTCAACTAAAGTTTCCATTTTTGAAAAATAATTATCTAAAACCTATGTTTAGTATAACTTATACCTAATATTTTACTACTCAGTCTATATTCATTACTAAATATTCTTTTTTGAAAAATATTTTTTACCACAACATTCTTTTTAACAGATAAAGAGAGTTTAACAAAATTTAGTATTATAATAATATGATTATAATTCTAATATGATAAAATAAATAAAAATATAATAAGAAAATATTAACATGGACATAATAAAAATATATATAATTTTAAATTTTATATAAATATACAATATTTTAATAACACTATTATAGTAGTTAAAATCTATATAAAAAACAAAAGATATAGGATTAGATGAAGACGTTTCACGCAAAAGATGTGTGGGTGTATATATTAATGATGTGGACTTTGTAATTTTAAAAAGGCTTAAACTAAAATAATTACTAAATTATTTTTTGGTCAAATTAGATAACTAAATTATTGTATTTACTTATTTTAAGTCTATTATTTTAAGTTTTAATATTTTTTCAGTTAGAAAATTATTTTTTGACCAATGAGACGTTGACATGTCACACAAAATTAGGTAATTATTTTGATCAAAAAAATATTTTAGGGGCTTAAAGAAAAAAATAAGTATAATTTAGGGACTTATTTTGATAAGAAAATAGTTGAAATACTTAGAGTGGTTACATATAATAATTTAAAAACTTATTTTAACAAAAAAAAGAAAAAATGGTATAGTTTAAATATATTCGTTTAGTTTAAGCCTTTTAAAAACAAAGTTTGACAGGGATTGGCCCTCGTTCCCTCCCTTTCAAATAAAGAGGAAAATTGCTATTGACTTTTCTCATAGTTTCCATTAAATCTCAAGTAACATAGTTATTTTTAAAATATTTCATAAATAAATTTAGTTGATAAAAACAATTCAAAAATATTTTTAAATAATTCGTATAAATTATTTTTAAATTTTTAATTAAGTTAATATCTAATTAACCACTAATATCAATTCCAAGAATAAATAAAGGATGTGTTGGTTTTGGTTTGACCTTTTGTACAATAAAGATGGGGGCTGCCACTGCTAATGGGGTATTAAGGGCCTACTCCACACAGTATTATAACTTTATAATTTGACATTTTCTTATTATTTGTAACTAATAATGTTAATTAGGTGGTGGTTTCTTCCCTCTAAAATTATTTACCCATCAAGGTTGATGACAGTCTAGACATCACTTGTATTAGTAGTTATTATTCAAAACGTGTACAAAATTAGATGAAGTGAGCATCATGTAAATTCGTTTTTTTATTTACTAACTGTAAAAAAATTAATTTCATATATATATTAGTATATTTATTAACCCTAAAGCTAAGTCGTTAACCAATTTATACTGCACACAATCTCTACATTTAAACAATTTATCAATGACAAAGTGTTCTTTAAGGTTTCCTCATGGAAGAAAGTGCTTCATTTTGGTTGCAAAGGAAAGTTGACCCTACATTTCATAGGGCCTTACGAGGTACTAAAGAGAGTTCGACCAGTAACCTACCAGTTGGCCTTACCACTGGAGTTGTAGTGCATCCACAATGTGTTCTATGTGTCCATGCTCATAAGGTATCATTCCGATCCTTCTCATGTCATATCCCTAGAACGGGTCGAGGTGAGCCTAGACATGACCTATGAGGAAGAACCAATCAGAATCTTAACAAGAGATGTTAAGGAACTAAGGAACAAGAGGATTCATTTAGTGAAGGTGTTGTAGAGGAACCATGGTGTTGAGAAAGCGACCTGGGAAATCGATGAGGGCATGCAACTTCAGTACCCTCACCTCTTCTACTAAGGTAAATTTCGAGGATGAAATTTTATTTAGGTGAGAGTTGTAACACCCTGAATCTCGGGTTAGTAGTTTCGGGTTAACCCAAGTGAGCTTAAATAAATCCATTAGCATTGTAGGAAGTCTCGGACAAAGTTAACATTTGTTTGGGCTTGAGTTTGGCCCAATCCATGATAAAAAAAAATCAAAACTAGGATGACCAAAGGAGCAGTTTCACCATTTTTATTTTCAACGGTAATTTGGGTGATCTCACGTCTGACTCTCTTTTTCTCAACTCTTCTTTGTCTTTTCTTCTCATTTCTTCATCTTTCATTCTCTTACTCTTTCAATGCAACAAAGGTGCCACCTTTGCTAGAAAATCATTCTATTTTTGAGATTTCAAGGTAAGGAATAAAACCTCCATCTCCTAAGCTTTCATTCAAGCTCTTAATGGCAAGTTTTGGCCATGGTTAACAAATATGGGTTTAGTGGGGCTTTTAAAGTCTAAGTTTGATCAACCTGTTTTTGTGTTCTAAACTCTTCCTTAAGCTTCCCAGCAACATTAGTAATCCTTGTGTTTAGTTCTTGTCTATTGAGAAAAGTTAGAGAAAGCTCCTAGGCTAAAGGAAATGAGAAACTAGTACTTGGTTGAACTTTGGGAGTTTCCAGTAGCTTAGAAATCCAATGTGACTCACTTATAACTCAACTCTACCACATGTAGATTACTATGTTAGTTTTGTTAGGTTGCATGAGTTATGAAGTATATTCATGGTAGATTCAACATTTGGTGTTTTTCAGCATGGACCTTTTATGACCCCTACTATCAAACATAATACTCTAATAACATTTAGGGACCTCAGTAGGACGTTTGAGAGTATTGGAGAGACATTTTCATGCCTAAAAAAAGGTATTTCTAAGTACGAGTATTGGTACTAGAAGAACGGTGCCAATATTGTTCTGTATGTGTTAAAAACAAAGGGATTTTAGGCTAGCGGTATCAATGCTCCTGCAATGGGTATCGATAATGTAGGTAAGGTATCGATACAGTTCATTTAGTAGATCGCAGAGCGGTAATATGTTTGTTTCTTATTATTTTATTATTTTGAAAACTTATGAAATCTCAATATATATATTCTCTTTCAAAATCCTTGTTGTAGTTCATAAATAATTGATTATTTTTTGCGTGGACTGTTTAATGAGATTTCTCTATATTTATTATAAATATATGAATCTATTGTTGTGCAAAAAAGAGATGGAAAATAAACAGTGAAAGTAAGAGAAATGAAATACATATTAGGAATGAAATCATCTTATTTTTAAATATTTTGCATAAATAATTGTGTAAACGAATCTTCAATGGAATGATGTATCCATGTCCCATGTCCATCATGAAACAGAATGTATTAAGCCATGATTAACTGTACAATTATTTATTTCTAACCAATGAAATCCAATCTCGTAAAATTTTAGTTTATATTAAAGATATACAAACGAAGCTTGATTAGATCACAATATCAATGTAAACATAAAACTTCAAAGAGTTAACGTGGAACACATGATGAAAATTGGGGAGCAAATTGATAAAAAGTAGTAATAGAAGGATTAAAGTGCAAATTTCACTAATGTATAGGAGCTATTTTAAGTATTAAGCTAAAATTTAAAGTAAAAAACATGAGGGTTATACCAAAAGGAGAACCCTTTAAGGCGCGTCCATTATGCTCTCCAATCACCTGATCGACTTGGGACTCTGGTGTTACCATCACTGTGCACCCGTTTGCCATCTTAAACTCTTCTCCCACGCTCACCTCGACGGCGAGTGTTCGCGCGTTACATTGTATTCTTTCTCTCACTCACCCGCTCGGGCTCCCCTTACTTTCATTCATACGGTCTTATCTTACCCTCGCCCTCTGTATCTTGCTTCGAATTTTCTTCCATTAAAAATAAAACAAAGACCCTAGGCGATAACAAAAATAGTAGAAAAAACTAACTCTACTTTTGCATGGGGCATCACCGGGAAATCAAGATCCGACCAGCGCATGCTGATTTTCCCTGCTAAATGCGAGAAACCATGAGACGCGGTTGTTTACATAAACCTCAGGAACTAGAAGGAAATGATGACAATATCAGCAACAGAGACAATAAGCAGAAGGAACACGTCAGTGAAACTCCAAAAAGGAGTTGCTAAATTTTCGATTATTTTCATTTAAGTCCCTCTGCAATGGCTGCCACGTCTAATACATCGACGACTCCGGTAGACTCAGTCTCGGCTGATGAGTTAGCAGCCAAGGCCGTGCAAAAAAGGTACGAAGGGTTACTGATGGTTCGAACCAAGGCTATAAAAGGCAAAGGAGCATGGTATTGGGCACATCTCGAACCCATGCTCGTTCGTAACGCCGATACCGGACTCCCCAAAGCTGTAAAACTCCGATGCTCTTTGTGCGACGCCGTTTTCTCAGCGTCCAATCCTTCAAGAACAGCTTCGGAACATCTAAAGAGGGGAACATGTCCCAACTTTAACGCTTTTGCTAAACCCATTTCTTCTGTTTCTCCATCTCCGACAACGGTTGCAGCTGGAACCGCTACTCAAACTAATAGAAAACGAAGTTCTTCTTCGGTCACGATAACTGCCACTGGCCAGGTTCTTGTCGCATCCGGTTCGGGTTGCTCTTATCAGGCTACTCCGTTGGCTATTGTTGATCCTCCAAGATCATTTGGGGAGTTAGCTTGCTCGCCGTCGCCTGGGGCAGTTATGACGGCGAGTGATGGGAGTTTGGCGCCACAAAATCAACATCATTTGGTTTTATCTGGAGGTAAAGAGGATTTAGGTGCTTTGGCTATGTTGGAAGATAGTGTAAAGAAGCTAAAAACCCCCAAAACATCACCTGGGCCAACTTTAAGCAAATCCCAGATTGAGTGTGCTGTTGATTTGTTAGCTGACTGGATTTATGAGTGTTGTGGGTCAGTTTCATTTTCGAGTCTTGAACATCCAAAGTTCAGAGCTTTTCTTAATCAGGTCGGGTTGCCGCCAGTTTCAAGCAGGGAGCTTGCTGGGAGTAGATTGGATGTTAAGTATGAGGAAGTGAAAGCAGAATCCGTGGCCAGGATTAGAGATGCTATGTTCTTCCAGCTTTCATCTGATGGGTGGAAAGTTAGGAGCTTTGCTAGTGGCGACAGGAGCTTGGTGAACTTGGCTGTGAATTTGCCTAATGGGACTAGTTTGTATAGAAGTGCAGCTTTTGTTAGTGGTTTTGTCCCTTCAAAATATGCAGAGGAGGTGCTGTGGGAAACGGTGACTGGAATTTGCGGGAATGCCGTGCAGCAATGTGCAGGGATTGTTGCTGATAAGTTCAAGGCTAAAGCATTGAGGAATTTGGAGAATCAGCACCATTGGATGGTTAACCTTTGTTGTCAGTTTCAGGGTTTTAATAGTTTGATTAAGGACTTTAACAAGGACCTTCCTTTGTTCAAGACAGTGACTGATAACGCCTTGAAGCTTGCAAATTTCATAAATATCACACCTCAAATTCGAATTACCTTTGAAAAGTATCTGTTGCACGAGTGTGGGAGTACCGAGTTCTTGAGGGTACCTTTGCGTGATCACGAGAGCTTGAATTTTGGACTTGTTTATACAATGATTGAAGATGTACTGAACTCTGCTCGGGCACTTCAGTTGGTTTTGCTTGATGAAACATATAAAACGGTATCCATGGAAGATCCAGTCGCCAGAGAAGTTGCTGAAATGATTCGAGATATGGGGTTTTGGAATGATTTAGAGGCAGTGCATTCATTGGTTAAATTGATCAAGGAAATGGTACAAGAGATTGAGACTGAAAGACCATTAGTTGGGCAATGTCTGCCGCTTTGGGAGGATCTCAGAACCAAGGTGAAGGATTGGTGTTCGAAATTTCACATTGCAGAAGGTCCAGTTGAGAAACTGATTGAAAGACGGTTCAAGAAGAACTACCACCCGGCTTGGGCTGCTGCATATATACTTGATCCACTTTATTTGATTAAAGACATGAGTGGGAAGTACCTTCCCCCTTTCAAATGCTTGACAGTTGAGCAAGAAAAGGATGTCGATAAGCTGATAACCAGGCTTGTATCAAGGGAGGAGGCTCATATTGCTCTTATGGAACTTATGAAATGGAGAACAGAAGGGCTCGATCCGGTATATGCTCGAGCTGTGCAGATGAAGGAAAGAGATCCCATCACTGGGAAGATGAAAACTGCTAATCCTCAAAGCAGTAGGCTTGTTTGGGAAACTTATCTTACCGAGTTAAAGTCCCTAGGGAAAGTTGCAGTTAGGCTTATTTTCCTCCATGCAACCTCGTGCGGATTCAAATGCAACGGGTCTTTGTTAAGATGGATAGGTGCTCATGGACATTCAAGAGTAGGCATGGAGAGGGCTCAAAAGTTGTTATTCATCACAGCGCACTCCAAGCTCAACCGGAGGGTTTTTTCCAGTGAGGAAGACAAGGATGCAGAGCTTTTCACATTGGCAAACGGTGAGGATGATGTGCTAAACGAGGTTCTTGTGGAAACATCCTTAGTGTAACGTTTTTCCTTTCTCCCATTTCTTTATATATTTGAAGAAAAAAAATGAATTCTTTGGGGATTTTCGATTTGCAGAGAACTCTTCTTGTGTGTAAATATATATAGATGCCTGCATGAATGGAAGTTACGAAACATGAAGAGCATTGTAACTTTTTTTCGTCTAGCATTATTTTTATAAAAAATAATACATCTATAAAGGGGAAGCTTTATGATTTCTCTTCTCGTTTTATGAACATATCTTGACTGTATATTCTTTCGAGGTTTACAAACAAGCCATTCTTTTAACATAAAACACTTATGCACAGGAGACCTGCCTCTTGACTAATATTGAAGTTATTTAATCTGGTTTGGCTTGTATGATACCTTCTATGTGTTTTTTGGTTTATGGAACTCGCAATATAGATTTGGGTTCTTAAGAATCCGAAAAAAGCAGTTTCATTTGCGGTCCAAATCCGACATTTTATGAAGCATTTAATCCTGCAAGACAGTTACCTTTCTGTCTGAAAAAGTTTGTCATATTGTTTCTATTTAGATCTTAAGATGCAGCTGGTCCCTAGATTTCAATATTGTTTCAAGTTTGGAGTTTGGATCCCTTGCATCAACTGTCTTATAGCTTTCAAACATGTTCAATTTGTACATATATATACTCATCTACAGGGTCTTTCTGCAAATTGAACTTGGTTCCAAGTTCGGGCTTGTTTTCGGTCAAAACCGGTAATTGTCTGGACCATGATACCAAAACTGGACAAGATCTCTGCTTTCTGTGTATGCACACGAGTTTAGGTTTTGTGACTTGTGATGCAATCAATCATTTCAACAGGTTGAAAACCGAAACCAGGTCCTAAGTATAATCACCGTTTCTCTGAAATTAGTTGGTTAAAGTACATTCTTATCAGAAACTTGGTGTTGAACTATCAAGACGTGTTCAACCAATTATTGTAAGTTGAACAATGAACTTAACATACAATTGTGGTGGATGTCTTTTATTTGTTGGCAGGAGCATAGGAGAAAGATATTGTGGGACTGGAAAGACCACCATAAGATGGTTGGCCGTTAGCATTGTAGGACCATGATTGCAGAGGAATTTGGCACAAGAATCCAAAGGAAGTGAAAGTTTTCGTCAAGGTGGTGTGTCGTTTTGCAATTGTTCCTCGAGCCAGTCGGGTGGATGACGAACCGAATTTCGGTACGTGGGCCAGCGACCTCGGAAGGGCCCTGAGACAAAGGCCTTTCTAGCTGGAGGAGCACTTGTACAAGTCCCATGTCCTTTTTTTTGTGTCATTGGGAGATCGGAACCCCACCATGAAAGAAGTGCAAGTCATTTTCCAAGCTTTGGTTTTGTGTGTAGGAGAAAGATCAGGTTTTTGCCATCAAATCAATGAATATGCATATACATATACGTACATGTATACGTACACATACACGTAAAAACTTTATAAAAGATGAACAAAAATATAGATAAAGAGGAGTAATTTTTGTTGGTATTTTTACCAGGCAGAAGTCATTGGGGTCTTGTCTTTGTAATAAATTAAGATTGAAGTGGAAAGACAGAATTTCCTGTCGGCTAAGACTTATTGTTAATGTTGACTGCTCACCAACCTCAGCCAACCACTAAGCTTGTTTTTTTCCTTCTGTCTCTGCCAATAGTAGGGGATGCTTCCATTTATTGGTAATGCTTGCGAGTTGCGATCGAGCAACGTGAACGCCGGTAAATATTGTAAAATAAAGGGCGCGTTTTCCATGCGTAAGTCAAATGTGAATTTGTATTGTCATGGACCACTATAAAAATTATACCATTTTATTACCATAAAAATATATACAACGTGGGATACTAGCATTCTTTTCTTACCTATTAAGTGTAAAATAATTATTTAATTCTGTGAGCAGGCAACACAGCTTGCAAACTAATTGAAGACTACTTTATTTATAAATCATATATTAATAATTATATAAATAATTTTAATTTTTAATAAAGAAATTATAAATACTGAAAATAAAAAAAATTAAAATTAGTTGATTAGTCTTATTAATTTTCTCTAATTAACTATTCTAACTTTACAAATTTACTACGTGAATCAAGTGATTTTAGTGATTAAAGGATTTTTTTTCTTTTGGGTTCGAGCATCGTGTATGTTCGGAGTATGAATGTTTATTATCAAATGATTGAGTGCATACTAATATATTATATTTACAAATTTATAAAAAAATAACTTTACAGATTTATTTATATTTATTCAAACCTTCAATGTGTTCATTTTACTTTAGATAAAATTTCATTTGTGTATAAAAATCCGATATTTCACTCTCCTTTTTTACAGTTTTCATTTAGTTTCTCTTCATTTTGTATCTAATTCTAATAAAATATCTTATAATTATTCAAATGAGTGTGTATCTTTTATTGAAACAATCCTTTCAATTGATGCAATATTGTGTTGGATGTTTTATCACAATAATATTTTATTACGAAACTTCAACTTTAAAATCAAATATATATTTTTAGAATTTATACAAATAATAAAAATCAAGTCTTCTTTAAAAGTAATATATATAAGTATATTTAAATTTAAATAATGTTATATTACTACAAAACCCCAAAAATATTGTATTTAGAAAGAATCATTGTGCTTTAATGAAATTATTATTACAAATAGGCAAAAAATTATTCGGTTGTGTTACGCATAAGTAGGAGGTTCAGTTATCGAGGCACGTGTTTCAATCATGTAGGAGGTTAATAATATGGAAAATAATTTAAAATTAACAAATTATTATCTGGAAAAATTAATTCAGCTAAAAATAAAATTCCTTAGCATTCCATTAAAATTTTGATAGACAAGTGATAAAAATATTATATATAAAATCATTATTTAATATATTAATAATATTTTTTTATTTTAAAAAATGGTTTATCATTATGTATTTAAGTATTAATTAATAATGTATTATAATAAGTTGAAACCGTTTGTAGAGAGAAAAATATAATTACTAATGCCGAATAGTAATTAAAAAGTATTTATAAGAAGAAGAAAAATATAAGATAAGGGAGAATTCAGACAACATGAAAACTAAAAATTGCTTTTGTTTGGTCATTGTCACGTGGCCATCTAAGCGTGTTGGGATGATTGATTCCACGGGCATTGCATCTTATTGGTCAATGTCCGTACACTCTTGACATCATTAATTATTTTCTAGAATTATTTTAAAAATAAAATATTCGTATATAATAATGAATATTGTTACGTGTTGAAAATTATATGATATTGTTTTTTATCATCTAGAATTAAATGGCAAAGCCAAAAGCAGAAGAGACTCGTCATTCTGTCTCTAACGTTTGACACCGAAGCATATGATCGGGTAAGTTTCATGAGGACAATAATTTTACAAATTTTGCATCAAACATAAAACTTAGAAAAATCCTAGGAAAATTAATGCAAGGATCGAGCTTTGATATTAGATTGATTAGGTTCGTTTTAAGGGGTCATTTAAAATTACATATATAAAGAGAGAACTTTAAAACATGTACAATAAAAATGCAAACATTAAGGACAATACATGTTCATAAGATATAGTAGGGATAAAAGTGAGAAAGCATGGAATCAACAAAAACAAAAGAAAATGAATTGAATAGTAATGTTAAAATATTTTATGGTTTTCGAATATTAAAATCATGATCTGATTTTCTCATAAGCAGAATGGGTTAATGCTTCACTTATGTTTCAGGTTTTCAAGATTCAGTAGTTATTTGCCATCAATTAAACAACATTTATACAGGCGATTTTCTTGGTGGCTTCCTCGTGCTCATCAATGACAACACACGACCCAGAATGATGAATACTCTGACGCTTATGACAAGAAATTCTGGACAGGCATGGGCTATTACTAAAGTCCAGATTGGGTAGAGGCATATTTCCATTTGAGTGTTAAAAAAATGGGTATGTATGAATGAAATGGCACCACATATCTATGATTACAAATCTAATTCATTCCCAAGTTCTCATTTATATCTGTAGATCATCCAAAGACAGTTCATGTGCTGTCAGCAGCTTCATTTTCTGCATATAATCACAAAGTACAAATTTAGTGGACCAAAAATTATCTGCCAAGTAGAAATGAGAAAATTTTTGTGTTGGAGATTCGATACCGTGATAAACTGTGGAGGATCATCAAGACTTGTTGACCCTAAAATAACTTCTCTATTCAACTTTCCCGTAAGCTTGTGGCAGACTCTTAGCTGTACATTAAGGGCATTTTAGGAGAAAATAAAAGTATCAGAAATGCCCATCATTTTAGCAATATAACCTCGTGGTCTTGAAGAAGAACATAATTTCTCCATACCTCAGATCTTGTAGCTCCGCCTACTATAAACACAAAAATGCGTTTGCCAAACTTCTTGAAATCACTCGATGCGTGTCTTAGAATTGAATCGCTGAGATAAGGTAGGAAAGCAAACATTAAAATGCAAATCACATAGAAATAGAAACAGCATCAAGGATAAGAAACTAGGGTGGCATTGTGATGGCATAAGACAGTCATACATCACAGTTGCTTGACAGAGCAGTGGGGGTGGGGGTGGATGATAATGACTATATAAAGGTAATTGATGTGATCAAGACCTTGAATACCCATCATCTGAGCTGCGAGGCCGAGCCCATGTAGGTGTCCTCCTCGATCTCATGGAATGAGCAACTGGAGCTTCATGTATGGGTGAAGCTTGAGATGTGCCATGGAAAGATGGACTAGGATCATTCATGCAAGGATAATCATCTTTTGATAGTTCTCCTTTGCCAAGTTTTTCAACAAGCTCCTGAAAACGGAAAACAAATTCATGTGTTACCAGCGATTCTGCCATGAACTCTTAAAATGTTAGATGAACCATTGCAAGATTATCTTTTACTTTTGTTTTAGATAAGTGGTAGAAAAATGTAGCCAGTAGGAATCAATTATATAAAAAAGACAATTGCAAACTACTCTCATTGAAAGAATTAGACACACATGAAATATAGTGCACCTCTGTAAATAAATCTATTGAGTTGAGATGTATTAATAAATTAATTAATGCATTTTGGACACAGTAATACATTGGAAAAGCATGCTGCAGAGTTTCTTTCTCACCTCTATTATAGGGTAAAAGCGTGATAATTGCCATGTTTCTTGCCCACTGCTGAGGTCTTTCCTAGTTGCATGCTTCTTCTGGCAATTCACAAGCAAAGAAGCACAAAAGAAGAAAACATATTTATAAGTAAATAGCAACAACAGATCAACCACCATACGCAGAGATTGAACTAGTAGAAATTACCTTATGCATATCAAATTTCAAAGAAAAAGCACCTGCAGAACTCTTTTTGGCATCTGATGGTGGCGCAAGCAATCTCATATTATTCACAGCAGTCATGTCCTCTGGTGGTAATTTTGCTAACTGACAAAATGTTAAAAGCATTAGAATGGAGAAATATAATTAGCAATCAGTTAACTGATTGTCCTCAAATCCTTCCTATGTTTGGTAGGGGAAGGGAAAGAGGGGATGGGGGCTGGGGAGAATGATGGAAAATAGAGGAAAGGAAAATGCTAGGAGTGAAGTTACAAATAAAATTGTTAATTTAAGTAGAATGAGTATATCTTCTTTCACTTTTGGAAGAGTTGAATTTGAAGGGAAGGAAAAGATGCAAATCCACTCGGTACTTCCCCACTACCTATTTCCTTCGTAAAAAAACAAAAACAAAGAAAATGACAGAAAAAGGGAGTAGCTTTTCCTTTCATCCTCTTGCATTCCTTCTTTCCTTCCAAACACTGTTAGAAAAGGGTGTTCTTGAAGGAGTAAGGAGGGAAGGGAGGGAATGAAACAGAAAGAATGAAATAGAGGGAAAAAACCTTCATCAAATTGAGACCCTTTTCGCCCTCAAACTTCTCAGGGTAAATGACTGCAAGAATCATCAATAAGCGCAACTTATTTTCACGAGATGCTGCCTGCAAAAAGTGATTTTTTAACTTATGTTGACAAAGTAGAATACACCATTTACACTGGTAAAAGTTCTTACCTCATTTGTAGAAAGAAATTTAATTACATCTTTCATTCCAGTATCACCAAAAGCAAGGTCTTGCTCCAGTTGCCCAAGTTCTCGAAGCCCTTGATCCCTGATGATTAGGTTGATTTTTCCAGCAATCTGCAAATATAAAACCAACTTGCATGAAGCCATGGATCTTACAATGTATCTTTGATTATAAGGTACATTTTCTTTCAGTTACATCATACATCTAAAATTTGGTTAGGAAACAAGAAGTTTGAAGCTTCAAACATTCATCCAAATATCTAAATTGTTTGTTTCACTTACAAAGGCCTTAAAGAAAATGGGATATCGACTACGGAAATAAAGCATAAAAGAAAAAGAGATGCTAAAGAGCTAAACCAATTACCAGAAAGTAGTATTGAGAAATTCAAATGAATGACTAACAAAGAATCTAATCGTTCAAAGAGCTTAAAGAAGGTAGGAAACGAAAGGCTGGGAACAAAGATATTTAGTTTCTCTTGGTAAACCGGTGTAGGAATCACGGGCAAAAAATTCCATACCTTAGGAAAGACAAAAAACTAACCTCAACATGAAGAGAGAGCTTGTCAATTTGTTCACTGTATTGGGGCAAAGCTTGAACCATTTTTTGTAATTCCCTTGTTGAAAGTTCACTGCCTTCTCTATAAAGATGTTTGAATTTCATGGTGAGACAAGTGTCATGACATAGCTACAATTTCCAAATAAATTCAATAATAACAAAATGTTATAGCTGCATCATGTATAGATATTTAACTCAATTTTTCATCTGTTGGATTACATGATGAGAATTATTCAAAAGGTGAAAGGTGAGACAACAGCATCCCTAGAATAAAACAAAGTAAAAACAACATTTACACAAACCTTGAACCATGTTGAAGCTGTGCAGCTTTATTTTTTGATATGAAATTAGTCATCTTCTCATGCAGCCTTTCACTAGCCTGAGAATAAACCAAGGGTCAATCAGCATTTAACACTAGACAGTGGAAAAATGGTTCATACATGGATGCATTCAGTTTTGTACAAGTTTTTCCTTACACACGGCACTCAAGATCCCATATGCCTTAGCAGTTTGATGTTTTTTTTCTTTTGAAAAATCAATATGGCACATCTTAAAAGAATGCAATATGGTTATGTGAGGGAATTGAAAAATCAAATAAATATAGGTAGTGTAAAGGCACAAAAGCAGCATACATACATCTGCAATATGTGCATGGCGAAGCTCAAGCCATATTGGATCATGCTCCTCCAAAAGAACCTCTTTCTTCTCGGGAGGGCCTCCTGTTTTGCTTGGAACCTGAACAGTACACACGCTTGATATACAGAGACCTAAAGAAATTTCCCAGAGAACTTAGGAACACACACTGTGAATCTGATGGAACATACCTCATGCACATATTTATTCCCCTCCATATTCAATAAATCATGGCACATGGCATCATAAGTCCACTCATGTATGACAGGAGCAATCTAGATATGAAAAAAACCATTTCTTATAAGCAAATTGAAAAGGTATAAATGCAGATCTCATTACCTTGTAACCAATATTAATATGAAAACCTGATCTATAGATCTATCAAGGATGAGCAACTCGCATGTTTCCTTCTGAGGGAAGTTGGGAATCGATTTGTATTTCACAAGACAATTCCAGATTCCAGCTGCAAGCTTGGTGGGAATTAGATCACGAAAAGTAGTCATTGTCATTGGATCGAGAGACTTGGCAGCCCGATATCGAACAAAAGGAAACTCCTGATAAATAAACATGTCTTAGAAAATGCTCCAAATGTTTTAGAATCAAGATCAAAAAACGCAGCATATACCCTTAATGAAGCAAAAACTGTAGCAATGCGGGTAGCCATCACATTCAAACAAGCATCACCCTTGCGAGTATTTTCCTCATCACCAAAAAGGTTCTCTAGAGCCTTCCCATTATCAGTTATGAAGCCCTTTAGTTAAGAAAATGAATGTTAGCTTGATAACCTGACAACTTTAACATCAATTAAGAAAAACTAGCTAGAAGATGTTTGTTCATATAAGCCCAACCTGGTAATTATAAATATAAATATACAAGCTTCATCCTATGAAAACAAAAGACGTCGCTTAAAAGTCAAGGTTAAAGTATTAGAAACCATATCCTTCCCAAGATATAGCATGTCAGTGTTAATAAAAGTATCTGACTAAGTCTTTCAAACTTAAAAACAAGGCTTATAATATCCATTTTTAACCAAAATTTGCATCTCAAAATGTAACCTTGATGTTTTTCTGTGAGTTCCAAGCAAACCTAAATTAAATGATCCTCAAAATGCTGTGAAGGCATCAATTAGCCCATTATATATGCTTTTTTATTTGAAAAAAGCGGTTAACAACCACTTTTTTAATTTGAATTTATGCAACTTTAATTTTGACTTATCTGTAGCTTTTGTAAGGTATTCAACTTAGTGACCAAAGAAAATACCTGGCTGTCTATTGCAAAGTACTCCAAGTTCATCTGCATATGCCAGCAGAAAAAACAATGAGCACAAACAGCCAGCTCAATGATCAATTGAAGGAAAAAGGAAGACAAAACAATGTGACTAGTTGCACAATCATTGCTTCATGCAACGATCAATCTGAAGAACAAAAACTTAACCTCACTCAATGCACCTATGCGAGGCAAGACACTTGAATCCTTCTTGATATGTGCAACCAGTTCTCTTGGCATAGGTGAACTGAAGTAAACAAATGCCCTTTTTCCAAATACCAAATAGAAGAAATATATATATATCAGAATCAATAATATACTCAGAATTCAGGATACATAACCACACATGTAAGGAAAAATAATGAGTAAAAGTCTTGCACATACTTCTTATATAAGGGTGTCCTTCCAGACATGTCTGACAATAACATAACAACACTGCAAAAGTAAATAAGTGCATAAATAAGGGTGAGGAGAAAATATACGTCAAGAGAAATAGCATAATGGCATATGTCATATAAGACTCACATAAATGGTTCTTTAAAATTGATCAACAGAACCACATCTTGTGCAAAAATATGTATTAATGCAAGCATCACTAAAAGGGAAATTCTTTAATTAGAAAATACAGACAGATTTGTTTCTGATATCAGAAATATGACATGAAGTCATCTAAGATATATGTAGTGAAAACTATGAAAGTCAAATAATTATTATTATTTTAGGAAATATATTAGTTTATTATTATTAGGATAAGTTTTTTTATTATTTTATTATGAGAATTACTAGGAGCACATTTATTATTAATAGGAGATCCTATTTATTAGTATTACATGTTCTTAGAAGCCCTTCCTTAGTAGGATCGATTGTTTAGTAGGTCTTCTATTCAAACAAGGTATGTAACCTCTATTTAAAGAGGCTGATTTGCATCAATAAAATTTAAATCAGTATTTTATCAAACACCCTAAAGATCTTGATCTCTCTTCTAACGACTCCCAAAGGTTTCGGTGTCCCTTTGACAAGCCAAACTATCACCATAAGTTGTCCCCAGAATAAAGGGAAGGTCATTACTTCAAAGAGTTCCTATTAATCGCTCGGTGACTCAATCCATTAGTAAGGTCCATAACATTGAAGTAACAAGAATAACAATAGGGAGGGAAATGGACTAAAAAGTAACCAGCTACATAAATAAAACCCAAGCCCAAGGGGGAAGGGGGGGAGACACCTTGTCGCGAATAAAGGCTTAACCATTGAAACTCAGTAAAGGGAAGATACATTACTTCTCTTTGGTTGGTTGAATGAAGTATATAGCATCCATCGATGGCAACGGCTGCCTACGTCTGTATATGTCTTCTACCACTGCACAAGAAGTACAGAATCATTAAACTAGAAGGACAAAATTGATCCAACAAATTTTAAGATTCCAAGCTTGTAATGATCTAGTTCTATAGCCAGTTAGACCAATTGTCATGCAACCATGCAGAGGACCAAAAAAAACGTAGCTTACATGAAACACCTTCCGATGTAATGTCAGCCATCTTGCAAGAGTAAGACATTATCTTAACTGTAACTTTGTCCATGATTAGCACCTGCTTATAACAGATTGGAAATCAAGAGAAATAAGAATGGCATTTCTAGTAACAAGTAAACAATAGGAACAAAGCAAAATCAAGCCAATAAATGGCCAAAAAGAATCACAACAAGATTAGCATACCTTCCAAGTAGATTTTGAATCCTTCACTTTTGCAGAACGAAGCATTTCATACAATAATCCTTTACATACATCAAATATACAAAAAAATGAAATCAGTCAAAACACCAAAAATTAATCAGCAACAAGATCCCCTAAAAGGATGCAAAGGAACAGAAAACGCTAGACAAAGCCTAGGCAGAAAACTTAGGTTCCTCTTCCTCAATAAAAGCACTTGGCTAGGGACAGTGACATTTCTAAGTTCAGGCATCTCCCCTTGACTATACTGGTGAAACATCCCAAAAGTTCTACAAAGTGCAAAAATTGAAAATGCTTTTAACTTCTCATTCCTATTATGCATATAATTCCATAGCGGAATACTCTTATACAAAATAATCAATAATAGGTCACGCAAAAAGTCTCTCTTCAAGTCATCAGAAACATCATTCTTAAAATAGTTCTCAGCAACAAAAAAATAATATGAAAATGTATATAATGCCAGCATATAGCGCAGACAGCACTAAATGTTTGGCTTTTAGTTAGCATTGTTAGATGTTGAAGTCATTCTCAACCGGCATTTTTTCAGTATTTTGTACATCAAAATACGGAAATGAAAAAAAAGCTCCCCAGATTAGTTATGAAAAGATCACGATGTCATTTTTCTTTTTCCAATTTTTCCTTATTTTGATGTAAATTTTAATCAAAATATGAGGGCTTCTTAAGAAGCAAAAATTTTCAGTCAAATCTGAAAAACGTTAGTTGTGGAACTAGTCCTTGAGAATCAACTTAACAGACGAACTAATTCCGAAAAACATTTAGTTGAAATTTTATGACCAAGTCAAATCATTACTAACGATTGTCAACCAGATAGATTTAGCAAAATGATTACAGAATATTGATGTTTGAGCTTTAAACTGGATTGACAAATAAACTTCAAACAAAGAGACATAAGAAGAACTTACTTTCTCGGGTGATTTGCCTGAAATTCTTGTAGTCACCAGCGCTGGAGGAAGAGTCCGAATCTGAATACGACATCGTTTCTGAAATCTCCGATGAGCCGATCCAGTAAAATGGAGAGCCGGAGAGAAAGAGATCGTGGAGTAATCAGGGGAGAAAAGGTGAAGGTAAACGAAGAGGGGAAAGAAATGGGGACTTCAGTTTTTTTCCTTTTGGCAATTAGAAGTTAATTATTAAACATATTAAAAAGAGGAGCCATCCTATTTAGGTTAAACTATTGAAATTGTCACTTCTATTTTATAATTGTTAACTTTTTGTCATCAAATTTAATAGGGTAAATTACAAATTTGGTAACTTTACTTTACTTGATATCCTATTTCACTCACTAAACTTTAAATTTTTTTCAATTTTCTCAATAAACTTAATATATTGGGTTTTTTGGTCACTCAGTCGTTTTCTCACTAACGGTGTTATAAATGAGCTTTTATATAGATATAAAAAAACGTCGCTTTGGTGAAAATTTTACTTTCTTTAAAATGACATCGTTTTAACGTCGTTAACTATTTAACGACAAATTAACAAAAAAACTCAATTTATTAAGTTCAGTAAGGAAATTGAAAACTTTATAATGTTTAGTTAACTATTTAAAGTACTGTTGTAGTTACTTACCTTATCTATTTATAACATTTTTATCACTTATATTATTAATTTATAACGATTTGATCTCTAAAACGTTAAATGTGGTTAGTAAAATAGTTCATTTTTAATTTGATCAATGAATTTTATATAAAATATTTATTTGTAGAATAAAATTTAGATAAAATAGAAACTTGATTCCTAAACTTGAGATAAAATATTAATTTGATCTTTAAAATTTGGACAAAATATGAATTTAACCCATGAATTCGATCAAAATCTCTCCTTGTCTGTCACTGCAACCACTATCAACCATCATCGTTGACGATCATTGGATCCTAAAATTTTTAGTCTACTTTTTTCTACCTTTTAAATATGAATATAATATATATTTCATTGAAAAATACTTTAACTCTGCAACTCTAATATGAAACCTTATACCAGGTTGTTTTACCAGCCAAGAACAAAACTTGTATGTTCCCTACACCAGATGTTGAACAAACAATCATAGTTCGTAAACATATCCGGCCACTTTTTGCTTCATGTTGTTAAGTGAATCTATATCTGATTTCTTTAATTAATTTGTATTGGCTGAACATGATACATCAACGTAGATTACAAACAAATCATTGATCAAACACTTACAGTGAGTCTCGTTCCTCCCCAATCAGAGATGCTTATGTTATCACTGGAAATTTAGGCGACGCGTACGGATGCCCCCATCAGTTGTTTTCAATACCAACAGCTTATAAATTGGCTCTAGCAGATACAATATTCCGTATACAAGTCAATTATGGGAATACTTCCCTTCTCTGCATAATCAATATTAATTGAATGGCACGAATCTACTGAACTTGATGATACATAAATTGTTATTTTCTTTAAAGTTTCGGATTCGAGTACTATAGATGTCAGGGATGTGAATGTTCAATATCAAATAGTTGAGAATTATGTTTGAACATATAACAGCAATTTTCCGCTGAACAAGCATGTGTGAGGGTTCAACAACAGCAATTCTCCGCTGCTGAACGTGCTCATGGTTGGGTAAAATCTCCTTGACACAAGATGATTCTATTTTCGTATTACAAATTCTTCCCCCGATTGTCTATCAACGTGTTTGATCCATCGCCTTTGGCTTTTTCCTGAACCTGAATTTCCTCCGCCGGTGGCTACATGAGCAATATCCAAGCCATTCCCTACCGGAAGAAACACGGAGCGGACGAGCCGTCGTGAGCCATCTACGATAACACTTCTCCATTTGAAACTCGAAGCAGCTTTGGTATTAGCATTCTTGCATACCAGAACTGCCCCTCGGTTACTCAGTTTCGCCACCCTTAATACCCTGGAAAAGTCCTTTCGTCGGCTATCCGCCACCATGAAATCTATGCCGTTTAATCTATCCACTACTTCCTCAGATTCTCCGACGATGACCTCCGGTCGTGACACACCGGCTTCTTCTAGGGCCTCGACGTATGCTAATCTTGATCGTTCATCGGGAACCATGCATACATGTCTTCCGTTTGTATGGCTGCTAGCAACCGCCAGGCCGACGCTTGTTGCGGTGGCGCCACCTTGTGACCATGTCTCCACGATGAATCTCGCGTTCCAGCCTGCCGCCATGGCCGAAACAAGCTCTGCTACACCGGACTCGTGATGAAGTTCACACTACAAACACAAAAAAGAGAAATCCATCAGCAATCAAATGAAGTGAACATCAAGGCATCAGAATTTAGAAGGTTGATTGTCATGCTTACAGATTTAACAGTATCAAGATAAGCCTTGGATGCCGTCTCCGGAGACCAAACTAGCTTCATTTCTTCCTTCAATTACCTGGGGTTTATGATCACTTTCGAGTTGTGGTTTTCTTGTTTGACAATCTTAAATGGAATCAAAAGATTTGGTGGGCGTCGCTTTTATACTTGAGACAAAGAAGAATGTTCAATGGAAACGAAAGATTCAAATTACGATTGTAGTCGTATTTTTGACATATCGTATTTATCATAATTGTAGACATAATAAACGTGATCGCGGTGATTATTACTGTCATACAATGATAATCGTAGACAGCATCATTATCATTATCATAATAACTGTAGGAACGTTGACAAATCCAACGTGTGGCGGATTTGGATTCCTGTGGATTAGTATTCATCTTATTTTCTTCGATGGCCTGGTTTTAAGCTAATGCTTATCCCGCTGGATCTGAATTATTATTAAACCGATTTAATAATTTGTTTGAACAAAAAATATAGTCAACCGAGTTTTAAATTTATTTTAATTGTTCCTTAATGTGATTTATATTTTAGATTATCAAACTCAAAATTTTAAAATATAAATTACTCGTTATAAAAGATATCAATTTGTATATCTAATAACCTTACATATGAAAAGGGATGATCACACAATCCTCAACTATGTCCTATAATCATCCGATCACCGGATCCGTTCATAAAATATTATAAAATCCTCAAGTGCGTTTAAATAGAACAGAGAGTACTCTGAGTGCTGGGGACTGGGGCCCACGTGAAACATCCAGAATAGAGATGAACATTTGTCGGATTTCAATCCGATCCGGATCGGTCTTTATCCGATCCGGTTTTTTCTCTATGAGAAAAACCGGTTTATAAAATAACCGGTTCGGTTTTTAACCGGTTTGGAGGGCCGGATATCCTAACCGGTGTAACCGGTTTCGGTTTTAAAAAAACCGATTTTTTTAAAAAACCGGTTATAAAAAAACCGATTTTAATATTCCAGATTGCTCATAGGGAACCGATTCCCCCCAAAGGGGGTACCGATTCCTCACTGAATGGTTTGGCTCCGAGATTTCCAGAATGCTCGGAGGGAACCGATTCCCCCATAGGGGGTACCGATTCCCCCCTATTCAACGGTCGAAATATTTGAATTTTACACTTAGGGAACCGATTCCCTATGAGAGGAAACCGATTCCCTATGAGAGGGTACCGATTCCCCCACGCTCCAAGCATTTTTATTAAATGTTTTCACACTTAAACTGCTATATTATCTTCATTAATTATCACTAACATTCAGAAGTGATTCAAGGTGTATTTAAGCAAGCTTAGAAGCCATTGATCAAAGACAAGAAACATCAAGCAACTAGAATCAAGAGAGAATCAAAGAGAAAGCATCAAACCTCAAGTTCGATAAATTCAAATACTTAATTGAAATACTTAATTAACTCAACATAATTGAAATACTTAAATACTTCCAAGTTTGATAAATTCAAATACTTAAAAACTTCCAAGTTCGATAAATTCAAATACTTAAAAACTTCAAGTTCGATAATTGAAATAAAGTTTACGATAATTGAAATAAAGTTATAAAATAAACTACATTGCCATATCTTCTTCTTCATCTTCGCCTTCTTCGTTTGGAGGGGATATTCCAAGTTCGACTTCTTCAATGTGTAAGTTTGTTTCCAAATCGGCATCAATTGCATCTTATAGGGTGGTGATATGTTGCTTACGAGTCGCTCCATCCAAATAATCCTTTAAACAAATGCATACTTCCACCGACTCGGGACTTAGTCTTGATCTCCGTTGCGATATAACCCTGCCACTAACAGAAAAAGCGGATTCCGAAGCTACCGTAGAAGCTTGGACGGTTAGTAAATCACGGGCCATGGCGGCTAGAATCGGAAATTGTGCTTCCTTTTCTTTACACCAAGCCAAAATATCCAAACTTTCAAACTCTTCAAATGTCATTTTTGATCGAAAATCGCATGACATATAATTTCCCAACTCGCTACTTGGGGTGGTAGTACGTGATCGTTTGGATTGGGAATTTACAAGAGTGTTAAAAAGATTCAAATTTATGTTACTTGGACGTCTACTAGATGATTCCACATTCATTCTCATTTGATCGTGTATTACACTACTTGATCCGTATTTAGTTAAATAAATTACAAACATGTCTCGAAAACATTTGTTAAAATAATTTATTTGGTTTTGGACAAATTTAGGTTCATCATCGGTTAGATTAAAAGCAAACGCAATTTGTTCAATTAGTGTTTCAACCCCACCAACATTTAACGTTGGGTTTAAAGCGGCGGCACAAGTAAAAATGGGGGGAATCTCCTTAAAATATTTTAAAAGTTTTTCCTTCATTGCAAAGCCAATTTCTTGAAAAACTTCGTTTCAAATTCAAAGTCATTTAGTCGGGTAGCCAACAAAAATATTTGATTAAGAACCAACGGGCTAGTAGGGTAATAAACACCGGATAAAAAAGTTGTTGCATTTTTAAAAACCTCAAGCAAATCGGTTATTTTGGCTATAGTTTCCTAACTCGAATCCGGATAAATGTTTGGGACATGACCCCTCTCGAAAAGCCGATCGTGAAATGTTTGTAATGTTTCTCTATGCCTTAAGGCAGTATGCATCATCATCCAAGTTGAGTTCCAACGAGTTGGACAATCCAAATTAGGACCCAAAGCTTTTTTATTAACGGACTTACAAAATCGTTTATAATCATTTAGTCTTTTGTTGTTGCTACAAAGAACCGATTTTATCATTGTTTTAAATTCTAATCTAATCGGC